ATTTGTTTTTTCAGCAGTGCATATTTCAATATATGAAAGACTGCAGTACAGTGAGGGGGAGGGAATGTGTCCTAAATACAAGTGGGCAAGAAGTGCAACACTGGTGAACAGTGTGCAAAAGCACAGCAGTAATAATATCTAGAACTAACGTATTGATTCATACAAAAATATATCCTTAAATCCTTACTTATGCCCTCTCAAGAGGGTTGTGCTGTCTGTATTTCAGAGACCCTGCCTTCTGTTCTTTATTTCTGTGCCATATAAAAAGACCTAGCAACCAGGTGCTTGATCAAATTCAATCATTCAAAGGCAAGCTATGAAAATGGTCGATGTACTGTAGCTCAGAGAAAAATGCAAATATAGCAAGGCGAAACAAGAGTGAGTCAGGGGTTAGCCTTCGAGCACCGTAACCCTCATTTATGGGAGAGGAAGTGGCAACTTTGAATATTTAGTTTACAAAATGAAACTGACACATTCTTCTCACTGTGGCTTTGATTTGCTTAACATTCAAAAAAGGAATATGTGTGATGAAGCAATCAGACCTCGAGTCCTTGAGTCAGTTCTCTTCTAATGTTTTAATTGTGGTGTTTTCCCAGGTGTGTGTCTAGCTTCCTCAGCAGCCGGTACCGACAGGCGGCTCAGAGCTCCTTCACCGTGCGGGCCAGAGGCTCGGACCAGGACCGGAGGAGAGGGGGCCGCTTGGAGGGGTCTGAGGCCTCAGCAGGGTCAGGTCAGCCTTCATCTGCGGCCTCACCCAGTCAAGTGGACGAAAGGAAAGTGGATATGTTGAAGAGTGGATGTCTCAGCCTTTATTGAACAACTAACAAATGGAGTTTACAGAATACAGCAATCCTATGGGATTAAGCCATTCAAGATATCACATTGGCTTATCAGCATGATATTTATGAGATCTTACACTTTATAACCTATCTGCATGGTGTCAAACATTGCTGTTTTTGTCCATGTCAAAGCCTTGCACTCTTTCTTCAGCGGGTATATTGTCATACTGCAAATTGATCATAAGGAAGCTAATGCACGCAGCCTTCAGGAGTTTGTTCAGGCTCAGGGAGGTAAAAAAAAAAATGCTGGAATCACTCTCTTTCCTTAATGATGTCCACACAGAGACAATGGGGCGCCGCTCTGATTAGTGTCACCTGTCCTCGTGCATCTCATCAGCTCCATTATGGCTCCATCTCCCATGCTTCTTCTGCTAATTGAATAGCCTGTGAAGTGGTGACGAGGACGGGGGCGAGAGCAGCGTCTGTCCCACTGCTGCTTCACAAATGAGAGTGAAGCTTCCCAGTGAGACACTACTGAGGCTCTTAAAACATAAACCATTATCATACAGATGGAAAAGATGTAAACAAGTAGCCCTCATGTTATATTAGTGTCATATCGTCTACGGATCATGTTATCTGTAACAGCTTTCAATTGGCATCTAGTGTTTGTTTTCAGAGGGCCGATATGCTGCACTGCACATTTCTGTATCAGAATGAGTGTTAATATTAGACATAGGCTGAGGTTTGATATGTTGAAAATATGCCTACTTGGAAAGGAAATATATGTCGTTCAATACTCTGCAGCTGAGCTTGAGTTAGCACAAAGACAAGGGGGAAAAAAGCTTGGTCAATAGTAATAAAACTACTAGGACATCTTTCACTAATAAATCAACAATGCACACCTTGTTCGTTTCATTCATACAAAAATGAGAGTATTAGAAATGGCAATTCTGTATGTAGTATATTTCCAAATTGCCCCCAAAAAATGTTTTTATTGTCAACATATTCCATAAAAAAATGATGGTTCCATTTCTGATCGAGTGGTCACCTGCTGCTTGCTTGTTTGTCTGGGTATGTACATATTTTGTGGTTCTTGTTCTAATGTAGAACGCATTTGGAGGGACCTTCTGTCAAGGAATCACAATTTAATTTAGTTGGACAATCCCATGAGCTCCTGGCCTTAAAGACTGACATAGAGAAGATAGAAACTGGCCTCCAAATAGGTTGTTTGAGAATGGCCACTAACCTCCAAATCTAAAAGATGATTGAGACTGGTCCAAATGATGATGCTGCAGCAGAGAGGTTGGTGGATCAGTTCAATGATGTCCTCTCCCATTTTGCAGATGAAGCTGTTTTCAGGAGATTTTCCATGAGGTTTATCTGGGTTTTTACCAATCCTCCAGCAATATATCGGACTGTCCCACTTGCTTTACCTGCTCTCTTGATCCTTGCTCTGGAAACATCCTAGATTCCAATTAGGCGCCTTTGGAGATCATACCACTGTGGAAATTCACCTCTTGCTTTAACCATTAGGCAGTAGTGGCGCGAATGAAACCCTTCCCCAAAGTACTTTGTTAAAGTGTGGTTTTAGGAACCTCAGAGGAAGCGAGAGGCTGTCCAGAGAACACCGTACTTGACGTTTTCTTTAAATCTTGCATAGACGCTCATTAAAGTCACAGTGTGTCCTCTAGATTAAGGTTTTGTAAAGATGTGTGGAAGATAAAGAGTTTGAGAATCTTCCCAAACAACAAGTCCAGGCATCAAAATAACTGAAATGATGTCTTAAGGCAGAGAAAATGGCGTTCCGCAGTAGTTGCTGTGAGTTCTCTCAGAAAAGAGGACACTGAAAGATAAATAAGATTCCAATGACAATGGGTAACATGAGAAGCACGGGAAAGCTTAAATGCTCCAATGGGGGTGGCCAGAAAGAAGGAAGAATGCTCCGTCAGTATCAGTGCTATTGAGCTAAAGGTTTATTACAGTGTGTGTGGTGCCTGTGTGAAGCCAAATAAGCGACCTTGAGGTTATGAAAGGCGCTATATAAATTCAAGTTATTATTATTATTATTATTATTATTATTATTATAAGAATATGGCCCAGACGGACTAGAGGCACAGGTCCTTAAAGAGCCAATTAAAGGGAGTCTTTACAAGGTGATTCCAGTCACACACAGTGCCCAAACAAGGGAACATCTCAATCATTGATGCCGGTCCCCGAAAAACTGATTTTCAACCAATCAACATCATTCCTGTTCTTTGTAAAACCGTCGGCGGTGTTAAAAAGGTGTCCAAACTGCTTTTGAACAGTAAGAAAACCAAAGCAATGCTTTTTGCTCCCAAGTCAGCGTCCTCTTGCCTCTCCATTGACACCCTTGATGGCGTCTCTGTTGAGTTTGTTGATACCTACAAATATCTTGGCTTTTGGTTGGACAGTAATCTGAACTTCAAACACCATATCGAAGTTCTAACAAAGAAATTGAAATTCACTCTTGGCTTCCTTTACAGACTTAAATGTTGTTTTTCAACTTCATCCCGTAAAAGGTTGGTCTCTGGCTTATTCCTGTCCCAGCTGGACTACGGTGACACCATTTATAGATTTGCCTGTCCCACTGTCTTGGCCAAACTGTACCGACTCTAAGCCCATTGCTGCACACCGCGTTATATATAAATGCACCCTATAGGTACTTCATCATTGCACACGTTATATGCCTAACTGGATGGTGCCTCGCTACACGAATGCGTAGGATGCAGCAGTTGGTTTTTATTAATGTATAAAGCCATTTTATGGAAAGCTTCCACTCACATATGTGCCAGATTTGCCAGTTTGTGACAATTTACAACCTCAGATCCCCAGTGCCTGGATAGCCGTTCCCAGGTTCTAGCTGATGACGGATATGAGCTGGGAAAAAGGGAGTCTCTTTCTTGATATGGTCCTTGGTCTTGGAAGAGCGTTCAACTCACCGCTCAAACCTGACGCACTGTACTCTATAGCCCTATTTTAAATTGGTTGTCAGAAGTCTTACCACCAGCATGGCTTTTGCAGTAATAAGTAGGAGCCTATGTCTTACTATCCTAAATGGACAACTAGTAGAATGACTGCTTATTTTCTCTTTTGTTTTCTTAGTTATGTTCTCTGTATTTTATATGTTTGTGTTATGTGT